AAAACTTCCTTTTATTGCGTACTTAGAAAGGGTTTTGGAAAATTTAAACCCCTAGATGATGAAATATGGTGTTCCAGCTTTAAGGAACTTTTTAGAAGTGAAAAATTATTAAATGATTTTTTTATTTGGAAAAATGTTTCTCATACTTTTGAAGTAATGAATTAAATGCTTTTTTATTTTCCAAAATATTAACTTAAGATATGATAAGATGAGAGTGCAAAGTTTGCGTCGAAGAAAATAGTATTTAATTGCATGGTGGTGATGAAATTCGTAAAACGAAATTATGATATTTATGAATAATACATATTGCAGAACTTTACAAAAATCTACATCTGTTTACCCTATATAAATGGAATGGTGGAAAATTGTTATGAAAACAGAAAAGTTGTTTATTTATCATAGTATTATTGTAATTTGCATCTAGATGGCGTTAGAGCTGAATTAAGAGAAGAATTTGTTATTACCATAGGTTATATTAAAAAGTTTTAAATATAATTGTATTAAGTTTTGAATGCATTATATTTATATTTTAAGTATTTCTGCTTTGAGTATTTAAGTGTTAAATGTTTTGAGCGCTGAATATTTAAAAAAATATCTTCTTACTGTTGTCCAACATACCCATTAAATCCTTTAGGCTGAATTACGAACATGGCGGCCGGTCTCAACGAAAACTAGTCACTTATGCAGGACATTGAGATATTATGTTCGAACCTTTCGGTAAAGAGTACCTCTTAAGCCACGTATCCACCAAAAATGTTGACAACAGTTATGTTTCCAACTGTTTCCAACAAGCGTCTCCACCGAGGAAACAAATGTTAGCAACAAGCGGCAACAAGCGTATTCCTTTGATGTTGCCGCCAAAAATGTAAACAAGTTTTGTTGGCAACTGTTGTGTTGGCAACAAAACTTTGGTGGAGACGCGGCTTTATAGTCCGACGGGACGGTAATCAGACACAAACATAAAGAGATTAGACGCAGAACTAACGACTTTAATTTTTGAGGCACATGGATGAAACACCGCTAAAATCACCGAACCGGGCTGCTACTGTGAACCTATGACTTATATAATTAAAGGTCAAAAAACTTTCCTCGGTTGAATTTAGTTTTAATTTTTATTTGTTTGCAGGATGAGACATAATATACAGGGTAATTTTTAATTTACTGAAGACCTTATGGGTATATATTATTTACACCATAACAACAATATCTGTAAGAAAAAAAATATTAATTCAATTTTTATTTTCATACAAAAATAAAAATAATTTAATTGGACCTTCTAAACAATAATAACCATCAGCAAAAGAAATCCCGTGGCGGGGCAGGGGTGGAGGTGAGTAGGAGGCGGCGCTTACTCATTTGAACTTGACCTAATTACCTGTGTCGTCATTTTTTTTTCAGATGTAATGGAAAGGGCTACTTTCCGAAAAGCGAGAAAGGGAGGTGGTGAATGCTCTAAGCATACCACGACAGCATCCTCAAGTCAGTCAGCCGCCTTCTGTATAGCATTACTTTGGTCGCTTAAGATCGAACCGCGATGCTTGTCCTTCCGTGGTGAAATTAATATTGCGAACGTCGAAAATTAGCGTCACAGAGATCATACTTTAGAATTACCTATTACCTATTATAAATTTTAATATTTGGGATTGTTTTTATGTATAATGATTTCAACATGATGTGTGATACTGATATGAAGTGTAAAATAAAAAAGGCATTTTCTTTGAAGATTTATTCTGAAGTTGCTTATGTAAGTACTACAAAATGCAGATTTAAAAGGAGTCAGACGTGACAATAGAAACTAAAAAGTAGTTTTTTGTAAATGTATTATATTCTGTAAAGAGTGATTTCTCTAAAATTGTTTGTAATGCCCAACCAATATATTCCCAAAAAGGTCTTTAGTAAATTAAAAATGACCCTGTAGATAATTTCATTTTCACTTTGTTAGTGTAATTGGGTACTTAATTTTAGACTTTTGTAGTTTTCTTTTCAAATATTTTTAATATCAATGGCAATATGGTACAACCATAGTACAGATAATTGTTGATAGAGGTTGCTACAAAGTAATAAAAAGTTGGAACTTGCATATTTTTATTTCTCTTTTGTATAGAAACGTGTTAGCACTTGAAAAGGTGTTGGCTGGAGAAATTTGGTTCATAAGTTTGTCTGATTAACTGACTAACTGACTGTTTCTATCCAGATTAGTGTCTTTCTAGTTCTTCGCGACATTTAAATGTACAAATAAGTCATCATCCATTATCATATGAAAAGTACTAATATCAACAAGGATCGAATCTTCTGGGGCCCATGAGCAGAAAATTCCACGAGCAGCCGCAGGTCGGGCCCAAAATGACCACATGGAATAATTTCCTATAACACTAAGCTATATGAGAGAATGCTAGAAAAACATATTACGTACCTGTTTGCGACTCTTAGATCGCCCCAAGGCTCGGTCAGGCCGTAAGTGGGTGTGAGGTGCACGGCATGTAGTGTTTAGTGATGTGTAAATGTGTGAGACCTTGATCTCCTTAGGCGAACAGCAGCGACCGAGTTCCAGGCTGCCCCAATACGCTGCATCGCTCCACCGCTGGACCATTTCTTTCTTCCTTATCACTATTTAAGTCTATTAGCTTCATTGTACATTAAACTAACTTAAACTCGCCTAATTCCACATTCATCGTAGAATCGAACACGTGGTACCCGACACAGTAACGGACAATAGTTCAAAGTTCAACATTCAATGTCCCGGATTCACTTATCACAAAATTATAAAGAGGGAATTAAAGCGATCTCTTAACGAGTCATACTACTCAGCGTTAAACACAACTAAGTTCCTTCATTCGACACCAAAAACCACGTCGCGAAAAGATTCAAAATACGCCTCATTGACGCGTAAACTAACAAGCCAACACACACAAAAAAGGGGCACTTAACGCGACGACACGATTATAATGATTTCCTGATGATCAATCGAGAGAAGCTCTCGAACAAGGAATGCGCGGTTCGAACCCTAGACCGTATATCTACTCGACGCGCGCGTGCACAATTCCGCATCCCCGTACAAGTTAAATATTGCAAAACTCACATATCCACGTAAGGAAGTAACACGCACTTAATCTATCTGGACCCGACAACGATCGCGTGAACTTTCGCCACAATCACGAGCTACGCGGGTTCCCCTCATCGCGGCTAGTGGGCAACTCATATTTTCGCCCACGCGTCGAGCCACTGCCAGCCGCACACCGCTGCCCCACCTGGCGGCGTTTTTTCACCTACATACTATCGGGTGACGCGACAGTTCGAACGCAATTTGAGGGCGTTCAACATGGCCAAATTTGGGCATAAACAATATTCAATAATGATAATAAAGTTTTAAATTTTTGGTGATGTAATTACGATATATACATGTTGCATATACATAGAGTACGATAGATGTGTCTCTTTCGATTGGATATTAAAGACATTAAAAATGCTGAGATCCGAAAAAAAACATAATAAATTATATATCTTACCTTGTTTGCTCTTCAAACATTTTTATTATTGTATATCAGCGTCAATAACTATGCCAGGTGCCTAATACGTAATGATAAAAAAGAAGATCGTATTCTAAGTGATATTGCTGTTGCCTTAATATATTGCAGCGTGTTATGCTGCAGACAGTCGGGTCGGCTCAATTGAAATAAACCGCGCTCTCACTGAATACCGTAATCTCATTGAATGTGTGTGTATAGCACCGAAAACCTATTTTGATGGAAATAAGGTATTGCACCTTAGCCCTCATGACTGAAAACACTTGAATAATTATATTTATTGATGTCGATGCGTTACAGGTTTCCAGTTACCATCAGGTGGACTGTGTGCTCGTTCAGTACAATAAAAAAGACACGCATATTTTGATAATATTCGTACTATCACTTGCTGCTAAATAAAATAGTGATTTTCTTAGGACTAGTTTTTTATAGTCACATAAATAAATTTTAATAAGATCTGAAGGTAAAAAATGAGTGTAACACAACTTTTTTGGTTTATTAATTTTATTGTATACGATTTCCGCCATTCGATACTCATACTTCAATCAATTGGTCCGTCTTGCATTCTTACATTTCCACACCATTCACTTAAAATAAATATATACTTTGGTAATACTAATATTTACATTTTTACATTCATTTAAGTATTATAAATTATACTTTAAAAACTTTTAACATGTCAAAAAGCGAATATCGTTACTAATGCTTTAAAATCATTTTTATATTTTTCTGAATATATATTCATTGTTAGAAAATTTTAAATTGTATTTACATAATTAGGTTAATTTATTAAACAGATAGTTTTGCTGTAATATACATCTAAATCTGAAGAGTTTTATTGATTTTATTATTCAAAGTGATGTGTATTTTACTGTACTAATAGGCGATTAAGTAGATTCTATCCCTTTAAAATAAAATACTACTTACAGTATTGCCTAGAATTTTACTAACAGCTTAATGTAATTCATTTATTACTCTTGTAAGCACCAATTGGGAATCGTAACTTGGATTGCTTAAACTTAGGTACTTTATCGTCGGATGCTTCGCAGAAACTATAAAGTTGTAGTGTAGTGCACTGAAAGCATATGTATATATAGATTTATCGATATTTATATACAAATTCATTACAATTTGATTGAAAGTCAAACGTTCCATGACAATATCCTTTAGTTACATCAAATTTATCAATTTGTTCCATTTCTGAAATCAAAAGCAATACTACATTTCTTAATTAAGAAACAGTTAATTTGTAATGTAATTAATGACAAGATAAATAAACTGTTATTGTGTTACTAAAAGTTTTTAATTCTTTTGACATTAATCTGAATGGAATTTATTTCTCCTATTTTGCAATCTCTATTTTTTTATTAAGCTTATGACATTAATGCAAAATGTTTAAAGATAACTAGCACAAGCACAAGTGTCTGTATTTTCAAAGGAACAGAAATCCCAAAAGGTTATGATATTTTTTTCTCTTTAGACCTGTGTGGCATTTTCTCCGTTATTATGAAAGGGCTCTTTTATTTCACCCGAATGTCTTTTTTTGAGATGCGTTGGTTGGTTTGATACAGTTCTAGTTCTGCCTAACGTTTCACTAACTACATTTTTAACATTATAAGACGCTCGCTGATCATATATTTGATTTTTAAGAAGACTATCATTTTCAGCCAACGTCACCTTTAAAGGTCTTTTGTGGGATGTTTTTCTTCCTAGTGCCGCATTCATAGACATGGCTTGTAAAGTCAGCAATTGATTATTAATATTGGGGGAACTTAGACTGTTTCTTGGAATTGTTGCGTGTGGGGTCCCTGGTGCTGGAGAGGGTGCTGGTTCAAATTCTTCTAAGTCATCTTGCAAACAAAGTCTAGCGCTTGCTCCTAAATCTATTTCGCTTTTATTAAGGCTATAATAATTAACGCCGTGTCCAAAAAGTTTCATATTAAAACCATCATAATAAGGTATAACACCGTTAAGCGTTGATAATGCTTGAGGACATATGCTATTAGGATAACTTGATCTTGGTCTTCTGGGTAAAGTAACATAACCCTTTGTATTTATGTACGGTAAAGTGCCTTGGTACGAATTATTAGTATTTAATTTATTGTAGACACTAGAATTAATTGCTATTGCGTCATAAATAGGAGCTTTAATTGGACTTTCTAAATGTGTTTGATTTAAATTTGGCTTTTTCGGAACAGATGAAATACCACTGGATACAGGTGATTCTTGATTACTATTTCTAAGAGGAAATGAGAGAAGGTCAGGAGGAAATGTCCGGTGTTCTTGTGTTAGATGGTCGACCAAAATTTCTTTTGTTGTTTTGGGTAAATCCACTTCCTGTCGATGGCTTTTGATATTTTCTTCAAAGGCGGCTGTTGAAAAAGAAAACTCTTATTAAGTAATTTTTATTACCGATTAAAATAAAAAAATAAAACTAAATTATAATTTAATTGAAGCTATTACTTAGTTATATCATATTATGAAAAACACTACATTAATGTAGTTATGCTCTGACTAAAGATAAGCATTTTTTAAAATATTCTTACCTAATACAGATTCATTATCTAGTAAAGTCTTATTAAGTTCTGACATCTCTGTTGCTTCACTAGTTATTGATGACGTCACTTCATATTTTCTAGGGGGCTTAGCCACAGGATTAACCTCAAGTTTTATTCCTTTGTCCGTTTCAGAAGCTACTGACCCTTCAATAAGAGCTTCTCCGTTCGAAGAACGTGTGTCTGTTTTGATTAATCTCTTCATATCTGTATTTTGAGATGTAAAGAAACATACTGTTGATACGGCACCAAAGATAATAATAATTGCTGTTAAACAACCAACTAAAATTGCAAAGGAATATGAATCCATGCCAGCTATTGTACCCCTTCCAGCGTATTTGGACAGTATAAGAAAAATTGTTTTTTCGTCTCTTCCACCAGGATTATCAGCAACACACGTGTAGTTACCTCTGTCGCTGTATCTAACATGTATGATTGTTAGATTAGTCCATTTAATTAAATCCATAGTGTTTTCTATTACTGAATATCTTATTTCCCCAAAGGATTTAATTTCTATTAGTTTTCCGTTAAAACGCCAATGTACATCTGGTGGAGGATTTCCAACAACTTTACATGTAAGCGTAACGTTATCGTCATAACTTTTAATAGTCAAATCAGGTGAAGGTTCTAGGATGGTAGGCCGACAGGCAAAACTTGACGAATCTAACTCGTTCCAAAGTTTATCTCGAACTGAAGCCGGCTGCGCACACGAAGTAGGTGGAGTGTACAAGTTGTGACTGATTACCCAATCTCTGAATGATTGTAGATTGCAGTCACATCGCCATGGATTATTGTGCAAATCCAAACCCGATAAATTTCTCAGTGCACTTAAAGTTTCAGGTTTCATTTGATTCAAATTATTACCATCAAATCGTAATATCTTTAGCTGTGGCAAGTTAACGAAAGCTTTGGTACCAATTCGCACTATTCTATTATTGCTCATTTCGACTTTCTGAAGGAACTTTAAGTTGCGGAATGTACCGTCCTCTAACTTATCAATAAAGTTGTTATTTAAATTTATTAATCTTAGTTTTTCTGTTCCTTTGAACGTGTCTGGGTGTAAATATCTTATCAAATTTTTTGATAAATCCAGTTCTATCATTATAGCTAGAGTAATGAATGCCGCCTTATGAACCACTCCTATATTACACTCTCTTAAAAATAGCTTTTTTAAGTTACTTAGGCCTACTCTTTTAAAAGCTTCCTGGTGTAATTGCCTTAAATTATTATTAGAGAGATCTAGGATTTGTATGTCATTACTGAGATTTGCGGGTATTATTCTTAGGCTTGAGTTTGAGCAAATTGCAGCTTTATTTCCAGATTGCCATCTACAGTCACATGGCCTTTGACATTCTGTTGTAAAGTCACTAGTTGTAGACGGTAAAATGAATATTAGAGGTACAATAGCAATTTTCATCCATGTCTTCCAACATTTATGAGCCATTTTGCTATGATGTTGGTCATTTCTTCGTAAAAAGGCATTCTTGTCCGCCACAATTCTCTTGATACATATGTTATCTGAAACGAAGAAAAAGACCATAAATATCTACATCTATAAGAGTATGTTGTTAAAGTCTTCAGTTTTATATAATATTTATAAATTATTACAAAATCAATATAAACATATGATATTTAATGTATTACTAAATTGTGGTGTTTTCTTGTATTTTTTTATAGGAGAGGGGGCAAACTAGCATGCGGCTCACTTGATGGTAAGTGACTACCGCCGCCCATGAACAGCTGCAACAGCAGGGAGGGAATCGCAGATGCGTTGCTATTATTTATTGATAATTATTTATTTCATTAATTGAAACAGAAATGGTGGCAAAACTTAGATTCCTTCTAGAAACTAGTTTCCTTGCGTAGATCTCAGCTTCATTTCACATTTTACAAATGTTTGCTCAATTCGAACACGCTTCTACTGTAAAATTGATACGGCGTACAATGTAAATTGCTTTTGTTCAAAACTTTTACTTAAAAACAACTCAATAGCTCTCTGTTGATCATAATATATTCTATTGACCTTTTCTTAGAAGGTTACGTTTAGGAAGGCTACACACCTTTGTCACGCAATTGTCTGAGGTAGTGTTAAATGACTTACGATTATGTATATATATAGTAAATATACATAAAATAGTATATAAATAGATGAAAAATATGATAGTGATGATTTCGCCAATATACTAACATAATTCCAACATTAGGGATTGAAGTGTAAGGTATTCTAAGTTACTAGATGGCGGGACACATTTTTTGCCTAGGAATCCGTCTGGATAGGTACCAACCTCTTATCTATTTCTGCGGCCAAATCGCAGTGAAAATTTGACGGCAGGCATAGCTGCGTTCCGGTCAGAATGGTAGAGAAAGCCATATACTCGTAATTACAGGCAGTTTGGCATTCCATCTTAGTCCTCATTTTTTCAAGATGAATGCGGATGTCCATGAAATGCAGAAGCCATTACCATCAGGTGAACTGCAAGTTCGTTTGCCACTTCAGTTTTATAAAAAAAATATTAAATATCATTAAGAAATGTTTTTAAACAGGATAATAAAAAGTTCATTAAAAATAATATGGATCAAGTGTAATAATTCAGACAAATAGTGAGAAGTTCGTCAATATCATATAAAAAATTGTAAAAATATGTATGCACTTAATATTAAACTTTACTTTTCCCGGTTATATAAAGAATAAGCAGTGCGGTGTTTTCAGGTTTTTTTTTTTATTTTAAGGATTTAGTTGTTAAAGCGACTTTCGTAAATTATGCTGTTCGTCTATTTCTATGTGTATCATAACGATTATAGCATGTATATCTTAAAGGCAAGAGTGAACAAATTGTTATTATGACAATGCAATTAACCATCTAGATATACAGAAACAGAAACAGAAACTTTTTTATTCAATATAGATTATAAATAATACTTATTGAAAGTCACTCTTTAGTTTAATTACCACTGGTTTGAAAAATAAAACCTCTGTCCTAGGAAGAACCAGCAAGAAACCCAGCGGAACTTTTTTTTAAACAACAGCTTACAATCATGTATGTTACGCAAATTAACAATACAACAAATTAGACATATCTGAAAAATACAGCACCTCTTACCACCGGGTGGGATTGAGATCAAACACTAGCTTAAAATATATGCAAAGAAAAATACACTTGTAAGAAAAACAAGTTAAGCATAGTTAAACATATTTTTATCTATAAACAACTTTGCTTGTGACAGCACAAGCAAAGTTGTTTATAGATAAAAATAGACTTTACTTACCTATTAGCCAGATAAATGAGATAAAACCGTAGATTTTCCCACTCGTTGAATGTTCATGTAATAATTTTCTTGATTCTTCTTTATCCTCAGTACCTGTAAACAAAAAAAAAACTTGTTTTTATTATTATTGTAGTACCTGGAGATATAAAATTGTTTAAAATGCACTGCTGGCCGGATGAGGAAGCTCAAGGTCTCTCATCGAACTATGGAAAGGGCTATGCTCGGAGTTTCTCTGCGTAATAAACTTAGAAATGAGGATATCCGCAGTAGAACCAGAGTGACCGACATAGCCCAACGGATTAGTAAGCTGAAGTGGCAACGGGCCGGCCATATAGCTCGAAGAACCTACAACCGATGGGGAAAAAAGGTTCTCGAGTGGCGGCCTCGTATCGGCGGACGAAGTGTAGGGCATCCCCCCACTAGATGGAGTGACGACCTGGTAAGATATGTTGGAGGTCGATGGATGCAGGTAGCTCAGGACCGTGCTTTGTGGCATTCTTTGGGGGAGGCCTATGTTCATCAGTGGACTTGTGAAGGGCTGTCATGATGATGATGATGATGAAAATGTACTGGGACTAAACTTTTACTTATATTTAGGTCCAATCCGATGAAGGATCCCAATCCAAAATGAAACCTAAACCTAAACAATTATTTTACCAGTACACTAGCTAAACAATTTCTAACTTGCTAAAAATCATGAAATACATACATTTTACTCTCATGTTCTTCGATCTGAGAATATAATTTTCGCGCAGAAACCTAACACCATAAGTGGGACAACTAAAACAGCCCGATTGTGCTCAACTCAACGTCAGCTCCTATCTACAACAAACCGCGAAAATGTATACCATATAAATGACAACTTGCTACTACAGCTACAGCAGTATCAACTCTGCACACTAGAAAAGTTCTAAGTTCTGTCAAGATATCACAACCAGGAAAGTGCGAAATATCGTTTGTTATGCGCCTAATATTTTTCCGGTCGTGTCGGTTTGTCATCCCATCAGACTACGAAAGTGAGTCAGGAAATAGAGAGTGCTTGCTTGCTTGTGATCGTACACACTACAATCTTGTCCTTGCGGATGGCTAGACACCAACGGGATATCCAATTGAATTCATTTTTATTTGTATTATTTTTACCTAAGGTAACATTAGAGATGATTTATACAATTTATTTAAATTTAACAAATAACAAATTTGCTATCATACATTTTAATGATTTTTTTCTTTTCTGATTTTGAACAAATTTCTTGATTATAAAAAGAGTTTCTGCAAACTATCGAGAAAACCTGGTACTACGATCTAACCGCATAGCAAGAATATTTTGGTAAATCTCCCCTACTTAAGGGGAGGCTCATGTTTAATAGCGGACTGTTTATTGGGGTTGATCAGGAAGAAAAAAAGCAGTTTCTCATTATTGTTTCATTCATTCATTCTTTTATAGCCTGTCAAATTCAAATTCAAAATATTTATTGTAAATTAAGTGTTACATTTGGTGTTAATTTAAAATATGATGTATCTCCCTTTTCGGGTATTACAATAATAGGTCTGTGACTTAGATAATTAAGTATACTGAATAAAGTTGTTAGTTATAATTAAACAATAATTTAAATGATAAAAAAAAAATTAATTACGAAATAATAAAATAATTTATTATTGCATTTCTTGTGTTAAACGCTAGCTTTCTCTGTCATGAAAATGTCCTTAGATACTCGCTGAATTCTCATATCAGACAGACATATACATACATACATAAACATAACGACAGGCATAACATATATAACATATATAACAGGCATAACTATATATATGGAACTGAGGCATTCCATCTTAGTCCTCACGGGTGACAACGCATCTACATTTTGATTTGTAATAGAGGATAGATGTAGATGTCTATGGGCCGCAGCAACCACTTACCACCAGGTGGACTGTGTGCTCGTTTGTCACCCTATACTATAAAAAAAAATATACGACTATTTGCATAACAATTATTTAATACGTATTGTTGAGAAAAAATATGTCAAAATATTGTTACGAGCATATAAACAAGTATGTCTCAAATATAGTATTTACTTTATATGACGTTAATTTTAAGGGAAAATTATTTAGGAAGCAGTTACATCTGCAAGATTTTAGAAATCTCTTGGTTCAAAAAGAAATATTATTTAACAGTTACTGAATAACATGTATTATCGTTACTCTAATTTCAATCAATAATTTGTATATTAAATCCACCATACTAGGTATAATGTGATCAATGTGCATTTATCATCATATTATTAGTACCTAGTAGAGTTATTTATTTAAATTTTTAATTTATTTCATTACTATAACGTCGAATAATGTAACATTAGACGAATAATTACTTCATCTTCCAATTCAAATCCACAAATCCAATTCAAATAATATCCTAAGTAGTAGAGCCGTACTGTCTCTATAATATGCATATTTATTAAAATAATTACTTGTCATGATATAGTAGTAGTAGTAGAGCCATGCTGCAGCTATATTAATAGTATAGTTGTAGCACGAATGGGCCGGCTCGACCGGAGAAGGACCACGCTCTCACAGAATACCAGCGTAAAATAGTAGCTAAATGATGCAAAGATGTTTCGTATGGTGAGTGTAGAGAACCGGAGACCCGTTTTACTGGAAAATAGGCATTCTAACTTGGTCCTCACGGCTGACAACGCATTTGCATTTTAATTCGCAAACGAAGATAGATGTAGATGTCTATGGGCCACAGCAACCACTTGGTGGACTGTGTGCTCGTTTGTCACCCTTATCCTATAAAAAAAACAGAAAAACATAACATAATGCGTTCTTCCATATTTTGTGGGTATTGTATAGTGATGGTTGCACTGAGAGCTACATTTTTGTATACGTTATTACGTCACTGCAACCGTCTGTTCGCTTGCCAAGAGTGACAATTAAGACAAATCCTCCCTCAAGTTATGGAGAAAAAGATTTGTTCAAAAATATTTGACTTGTTTGATATTTTTTTACTATGAAAGGTAGCTTAAATCTGGTAGGTTTATGAGACAGTTATTAAGCAGTTTTTGGGTGATAAAAATCTGGAGCAAAATGTTCTTCCAATTTTGTAACAAAACTTTGCAGGTTTTGACAATTTTCATACGTATATGAGTACACATATAATCCCCGGCCGTACTTCGTCAC